TAGGTTGTGGTGTGATACTAATGTTTCTCAAAATCAATTTGGATTTATGCCGGGTAGGTCGACTATGGAAGCCATACATTTATTCAGAGGTTTGATGGAAAAATATAGAGGAAATAAGGAGGATCTACATATGATATTTATTGATTTAGAAAAAGCATATGATAAAGTTCCAAGAGAAGTGTTATGGAGAGTTCTTGAAAAGAAAGGAGTTAATAATGCTTATATTCAAATCATTAAAGATATGTATGTAGGAGCTATTACTTGTGTTCAAACACAAGGTGGATTGACCAAGTATTTTCCTATTTCGGTTGGGTTACATCAAGGATCAGCCTTAAGCCCATATCTTTTTGCTTTAGTCTTGGATGTTCTCACTAGACATTTGCAAGATGATGTACCTTGGTGTATGCTTTTTGCTGATGATATTCTTCTTGTTGATAAGACTAGAGAGGGAGTTGAAGGTAAACTTGAATTATGGAGGTCAACCTTAGAGTCTAAAAGTTTTCGCTTGAGTAGATCTAAAACAGAATATATGGAGTGTAATTTTAGTACTAATAGACCTAGTGAGGGGATTGTGACTTTGGGCGATCAAGTCATTAATAAGAGTACACGTTTTAGATATCTTGGATCTATTGTTCAGAGTGATGGTGAAATAGATGGGGATATTATCAGCAGAATTCAAGTTGGATGGTTGAAGTGGAGGAATGCATCGGGCTTGTTATGTGATAGAAATGTACCCCTCAAACTTAAGGGAAAATTCTATAAGATGGTAGTGAGGCCTGCAATGCTTTATGGTGCTGAATGTTGGCCTTTAAAAGAGAAGCATAATACTAAGTTAAGTGTGGCAGAGATGAGGATGCTCAGGTGGATGAGTGGCTTTACCCTTAGAGATAGGATACGAAATGAGCATATACGTGAAAAGGTTGGAGTAGCTCCAGTAGAAGATAAGATTAGAGAAAGTCGCCTTAGATGGTTTGGTCACATAAAACGGCGGCCTTGCGATGACCCGGTTAGGAGAGTAGAGGTATTAGATTTGACTTATGTTAAGAAAGGTAGGGGTAGACCTAAAAAGACTTGGTTAGAAAATATTAGGAATGACCTTTCTTTATTAGATTTAAACGAGAATTTGACTTTTAATATGACACAATGGAGAAAAAGGATTCATGTAGCCGACCCCACGTAGTGGGATAAAGGCTTGATGTTGTTGTTGTTGTTGTCTGAGCCAATTTGTGTAATACTGCAAAAACTAGTTAGCAAAAAAAAGATATAACAATGTAAGATTTATTGATGATTCAAAGGACTTGAAAGGAAAGGGAAATTGATGAGTTAATATATACTAAAAGTAGCTCAGGTCACCATGGGACCTTTAGATCTTACTTTCCAGAAACGTAGGGAGTGCCTTTTCTATAGTTTGCAGGGAAATCTCCTTGTAAACCAGGTATTATCTCAGTCATTGCTTGGACAATCTTGTGGTCTTCACTATAGCTTTCAAAACACCTACCCCACCTAGGATCTCTGCAGACCTGATGCAGAGAGGATGAGTATAAGTCAAAAAACTATTTGCTCCCTTGTAGAAAAACAATTTTATGGTTGGTGGAGTAATGCTTACTGCAATACATGGAGCAAATGTGTAAGGAATGCCAGTAGCCCTGACTTCGAGAGCAGTTGCAGCACCAATCCGCTTCACAAGGTCAGGATCCCTAACATATAATAAGATCATAACAATATTAAAACCAATAAAATAAAAATCTCATCAGAATGTTGATTTATGTGTGATCTTTTATCCCCCTAATATATGCTAGTGTACAAATACAGGACTTTGTTGCGCGGCCGGAACCGGCCTAATAGGGACAAGTTCGGGTTTATAGCCGGCGGCCTGAAGTTTGGGCGAAACTTGGGGGGTGGAAGCCCTAATGGGCCCACTTGAAAATTTGAATTAGGGGCTGTTTAGGGATTTTGTAAGCCTCATTTGACCTTAATTAATCTCTTGGAGGCTAGGGTTAGGGTTATCTTGAGATTTGCTGAAATTTTGAGATCTGGGATTTGTTTGGGCTCTAGGCTTTGCTAGAGAATTTTGGAGAGTATTTCTTCCTCTCGAATTGAAGAAATTTGTATCTTGTTTGTTTTTCTTGTTTCTTCTCCAATATACTAAATTTCCTGCATTGTTCTTGCTACTTTCTCCTTGAAATCAGTCCTTTTACCGCTGTTTTTGCCAATTCTTGCTAGGTTTGCTTGCGAATTCAAGTATTACCCTTGGGGTTACTTGCAAACTCAAGTTCTTCCTATCAGACTTTCAAGACATACTTATGAAGAATACCTATCATACTTTTTCACCTCATACGCCATTTCAAGTAAACCACTATACTAAAGAGCATAAGATTACAACAGAGTAAACCATTGTCACTGCTAACAATATCAGCTAAATTTCTTAGAGCAATTATTTGAGAATTGAGATATACCACCAATACAGTCCCCATACTATTATGACTCATAAATTCAAGAAATTAAGTGGAAAAATAGTTAAGGAATACTTGCCTGGTAGCACCAAGGCCAATATTGTGAGGAAATATAGTTGCATTGTAAACATTGTTATGGCCATGAATGGCATCAATCCCATATAACATTGGAATCCCGAGCCGTGTCGATAGAGCGCCCTTTTGAAAATCATTTACCATATTCACCCAAACCTCTGCTGATGCCTGAGGAGCAGGCACACTACCCCCACCACTTAATACACTACCTGAAGAAAATTGCAGCTCAGCAATAACAAAATAAGGACCTGCACTTTAAAATAAAGGTATTCTTGCATTTTACCAATGAAGTAATCTTTCATTACTTGCGGCGATGCAACCTTCCGTTCGATCTGTGTCATCTGACCAATTTTCTCTGCAAGGGTCATCCGCTTCATCAAATCCTTGATTCGAACACCAAGAGGTTGCTTGGGATCTTTGTATTTCAGATACTCGGCATCTCCAATTGAAGCCCAGCAAGATAAAAATAGAATAACCAGCAAGCAAGCATTAGAACTCGCCATCTCCAGTGTTACAACCTAATCAAATCACCCTATAAAATGGCAAAGTGATTTACTGGTAAGCATGTTAGTTAAAAAGTAAATGATAAACACCATGAAGAAAAATAATGCTATGGTGATCTACAAAATTAAAGAAACACGCGCATTCATCTGTAAAATACAGATCAAATCAAAGATTTTGTGAAATATGATGGTTGAGAAAATTTCATCAATAAAAAGTAATAAAATATAATATTTTTTTTTTTCAGAATGCTAAGGGTGGCATTTTATTCTTTGAAAGCTGAGAGGAAACACAAATTGAATGTAGATTCAAGCTTCCTTTGGGACAGCTTTCTTATTGCTTCTTAAAATAGCTTTTTAGTACTAAAAAAGCTGCTTTAAGAAACATTAAAAAAGCCGTCCCAAACAAAACCTCAACCTTAAGATTTTAGTAACAACTTGCAACATCTTTATCAACTAAGGCAGCTAAAACCCACTGCAAATGATAAATTAGGATAACAGACATTTCCTATTATCTTTGTTAAAATTAAGAAAAAAAAAAAGCATTTGGTATAAACTACAGGATGTTCAAATTTGTCTTGAGAAAAAAAAAATCTAGTTCTTTGTTGTATTTGTATTTAAATATCCTGTAATCGTTTCATTTCAAACAGATGTTAGCTCATCTTTTGTATCAATGGATCTAAATGTTCCTCACAAAAGCATGCCATTATGTGGTAAACTGGTAGGTGGAAAAAAACAGTAAATGCAATTTTATGGAAAAAAAAAAGAGATTAAGTACTTAGAGAGAGCCAAAATAAATCATTTATCACAAAGAAGTTGCTAAAAAGGAGAAAGTTTCTTCAACTCGCTCAAGAGGCCAAAGGATCATAGAAATCCAATGAACTTATTCGGCAGAAAAACCAAATAGGTGACTAAACAAGCAAGAAAAACAGGAAAGAACCAGCAAGCTTGCAACTTTAGCTTCTAAAACCCAAAAAGAAAACCGCATTAGAGAAAAGAAATTATCTTTTCACGGTTTGAAAAGATTTTCAGCTAAGGGAAAGAATCCTTCCCTCCAAACATTCAAGCAAGCATAATATAAACGATAGAAGAAGGCGATGAGATAAACTCACTGAAGGGGAAGAAAAAGGAGAAAACAAGATAGTACAATAATTTCTCCTTCCCTTGAGTCCAGGTTTTCTTGCTTTCGAAACGGAGCTTCTCGGTAAAATGATAGAGATGAAGGGCTTAGTGGAGAAAGTGCAACAAATAGGCAGCAAGACATAATTTTTAGGATTACTGTCAGTCTGTCAGAGTAAAAGCAGTAAAAAACATCAATTTTCTTAGAAATATCTCTCTATCATCAAATTCTATGAGATTAACGATATATATATCAAATATTATTGACCATAATATGTATAACAACTTCTATGAACTGAATTATCAAAACACTGTACTTCAGTACATCAAAACAATTAATTAGTTATAATCCTATCATAAATCTTCATTAGCAACTTAAGAAATTATTTGTTTAATCATGACAGTGGACATAGTAATAGGAAAAATGTCAAAGAAAAATAAAAAGTAACTTTTTCAAATGTATGTTAGAGAAGAAATTATTCTGGGTAAATATTGGATAGTTTACGGCTTAAGATAGTCTGGAGGCGAATGAGAATGTATCACGTCACTCGATATATAGTGATACATGGATAACGGGACGAGTTCTGATTCGCCTCTGGACGGCGTCCATATCTGTACAGAATAATCTCCATCTCGAGATTTATGACTTCTTGGCTTTTTCATGAAGAAAGAAAAAGACGTTGATTTCATTTCCATACAAAATTATAATTTTATTAAATTTATTGATTATTAAGTTTATAAACTTTGATAATCTCAATATCAGCCGATATAGTGTAAGATATTATAGGCAAAAAAATTATGAGAGGATAACTATTATCTTAAAAGAATAAGATGATCTATCATTAATTTTAAATAAATAACTAATGTCTTAAGAATATAACGTTGAGGGATATTAAAATTATTTTAAATTTTATTTTTTATTTTGAAGGACAAGTGAACGTGCGGAGATCTTTTCGCACAGTGGGATGCTTGGATCTTGACAGAGATATGAATTTGATTCATTTGAATTCTAATGAAATTTCATAAATGCCCTCATGAACAATTTTATTTTATTCGCGCATTCAAATAATTTCATGTATCTGAAAATTTTATTTAATGTTTTTAAGAGAATTAATGAATTTGATGAACAAATGAAACTTATTTACATAAGATTTTTATATTTAAAATATTTAAATTTTTGGAATAAAATTTTTAAAAACTCATTAATATAAAATAAATTTTAGTATTGACTCACTTGCTGATTCTGTTATTAACATTATCATTTTTTGGTGATAGGTAGCTAATTAAGAGCTTGATAAAATGCATACATCCTATTTAAAAAATATTATATTATATTTAATTTACTTTAAAAAATAAGTTTTAAAAATCAACTATTAAAAGTTTAAATTGATCTTAAATAAAAGCATAAACTAATTAATATCTAAAAATAGCATTATTTTTTAGTTGTCATATTATTAAAATTGTATAATGATCTATTAGTTTATCTTTTTGGAATTCACTTACAGATGGAGTAAATATTATTTAGCTAGAGATGATTAATAAATTAAGTCAAATTTTTAATGAGTTATATTGAATAAAATCAAGTCAGATTAAGACCAAATATGAACTTGCTTTTATGTTTAATTTTTAGTCAATAAATTTCAGCCGGCTCAATCAAAACAAATTAGCTCAAGCTTGATTTGTAATTCTACGAAGGACCAAAAACATTCATTTGGCTAACCCAAAATCAGAACGAAAAATTTTTAGACTGATTACACGTGAAAATAAAAAATTTAAGAGTATGTACAGTCGCCCTTTAAACAGGTGACTGACCCTCAACAATAATGAATGATATGGGGCTGTGCAGTGGTAGAGAGTCGGACTCAACTTTTTTTTTTTCATTGTGTGTGAGCTTGCCTTCCTCGTTCGTTGACTTACGCCTGTGAGCTCCCAGAGCGCCGCATAGAGCCGAAAAAGATAAGTTCTTGAACATTTAATATTTTTTTAGTGAATATTCTTTTTTATTGAGAGTTGTAGCTTAGTTATGCATCAGATTTTGTTGTATTTTGTGAAGTTCATTTTTCTTTCCTCTTTTTATGAAAGGATTTTTCCTTTTATTATAAATGCCTATTCATTGTACGGATTTGGCGGTTATATGTAACGGAAATATATTTATAAAAGTGATGTACATAAATCTCAGGGAGAAGTTAGTTATTTGTTGTGTTTTAAGTTCTTATACAGATCTGCGTTTTTTAGGGAGTTTTCATATCGTAAAATTTTGGCCGGTAATTATTTATTGTACTGCTTTGAGATGAACTTTACATATTAAATTTCAATTCTTAGACTTACTTTTGGATGACTTTCTTACTGTTTTTTAAAATAATTTTCTAAAACAAAATTTTAATTCAAATCTCAATTCTTACACATTAAATTTCAAATTTTGTGCTAAAATATTGCTTTAAGAAGCACTAGAAAAGTCATCCCAAATAAAACGTTAAACTTCCAACCATTTACTGCTGAATGAAATTAAAAAAAAAAAAAGACTACAATTTCAATAAGAAGCAACTTGAAATCTAATGAATCAAGTAATGGTAAATTTGAGCCATGGCCATGACCCAATTCATGGAACTGATTTCTTTTACAACACAACATAATCTGTGAAAAAAAAAAAAAAACTATTTTCATATTTAGAAAAACCAAAATTAAATTAAATTAAATTAACAAATTGAATAAAATAAAAAATGTAAATCAGAATATTATGATTATATTCAGTTGAAATAAATTATAAAAAAATTTAAAATCATTTGATATGAGTATTGTATAGTTAATTCATAAACTATTGTACTGTTGTACTTTCAAGACGTTTGCTTTTTTTTTTTCTAATAAATTCGTAAGCAGCGACAAAGTGCCTGAGAATATAACCGTTGTAAGAATTTGGCCGTTGGAGTTTGAAAGTCCTTTTTTTTTTCTTTTTTATGTGCTAAAGATATAGGCCATTTTTTAGGAAAGAGCGCATTTGATTTTTAATTAAGAAAAAACAGCGTTGTAGGGAGTAAATTTAAAAAGAAGCAAATATGCCAAAATGAATGGCGCATTCAAAGAATGCGCCGAACTGGTTGGCGCATTCTTTGAATGCGCCGAACTGGTTGGCGCATTATGTAGAATGCGCGGTTTAGTACAGCGCATTCTGCCTTATCTTATCTCGCCGCTATCTCTTATCGGCCAGCTGTCGCGAATGCAGAGATTTCCGGATTTCTTTGTCCTAAAGCCCGACCAGATCCGTCCATTGCGCGCTGTCTTGGTGGGGAAATAATTGTGGCCTTTAATTTCGAGTGGTTGGGCAGACGAGCTCATCGGCTATAAGTAATGGTTGGGGTGAGGAGGGAAGGCATACCTTATATCATCTGAAGATCTCTTTTTTTTGCTGAAGTGCAGGTAAATTTATTTTTTCTTTAGTTTGATTTGTTTATTTTTTGTAAGTAAAGTAGATCTATTAAGTATTCTTGAGTAGTTCTAATGTTAATGTTTAAATTTATTTCTTCTTTAATTTGTTGTACTATTTTGGCTAATGTACTTTGTTATTTGTACATGCACGTTTGAAGATCTTGTAAATTAGTTAAATTATTTGTACATGCACATTTGAGATTAATTAAATTATTTGTACATGCACATTTGAGATTAATATATTATTTGAGTAAAATTACAGTAGATAAGCCTGTGTATCTCCCTACTCAATTTGTTCCGAGCCAAGTCCGTTCCAAAACAGATTATAGCGAATTCAGTAAGTTTTAAGAGCTTTGATCAATACCCAAAAAAATAAAAAATGAATACAAACAAATAAATTGAGAAGCTTTTGAGAGAATTGGACTAGTCAACTGGTTGCTTTCAAAAGCCTGAAAGTATCAGTGATCAAGCTTTTGTGTTAAGGCTTATGGGACATCAAGAACTGCCCAAGAAATTTTAAATTATCTAAGACTTACAAGTAACGAGTGTAGCAACTGCTAAAACAATTGTTGCAAAAGTTAGGCGCTAAAGATATATATACACGGAATATTTAATAGGAGTGACAGTATCAACTCGTAGAACAAAAAAATTGTTAGAGGTTGTTTGTTCGGATGTATTAGGAGTGCAGAGTAAACTAAATATATTGATTTTGAAATTTAGATATTTAATTGAAATAAAAATAAACTTTATTTTTTTGTCTGATTTATATAAAAAAATGTTATTGTTATACCCAACATTGAAATATTTTAGAGTAAGAAGCTTTGAATTTTTCTAAAATGTGCTCAACTATAAATATTTATATATAATTGCATAAACTGAGCTCACCCATCTACTCCTATTTGTAGATTTGGAGCAGAGATTGATTATTATAGAATTGGTTAGTTACTATTCAAAAGAAAAAAAAAATAAAATTTATGTATCTCAATCGAAAGTTCAACTTGATGTTGTCATCTGCTGAGCTCTTAAGAAATCGACAAGTTGATGTGCATTAATAGTCGAGTATCTTAATTTTATTTTTTCTTTAGTTTGATTTGTTTATTTTTTGTAAGTAAAGTAGAGATATTAAGTATTCTTGAGTTGGTCTAATGTGAATGTTTAATTTTATTTCTTCTTTAATTTGTTGTACTATTTTGGCTAATGTACTTTGTTATTTGTACATGCACGTTCGAAGATCTTGCAAATTAGTTAAATTATTTGTACATGCAGTTTGAGATTAATATATTATTTGAGCAAGTCATTTAAAGTTTAAACACATAATTTATTAATTTTGCTATTATTAAATGTACTAATTTAATTTTATTAAAATATAATTAACTTATCTAATTTTTTATATCATGATGAAGAGGAAGTTGGATAAGTTTTCTGCATTGAATGGTAGTGGTAGTATCTTAGAACCATCAAACTGATACCAACGAAGTTTTTTATAAATGGATTACATGCATATCCAAAATTTGGCTTAGAATGAAAAATAGCTACAAAATGTTAACTTGCCTCAATCTCTCATCTAACTGTTTATTTGGTGAATTAAAATACCGCCGGAAAATTGAAAAGCAAAGTAAAAGTAAATCATAATAAATTTTACTTTTAGTAGACAATAATATTTTCGTAAAAGTATGAAAATTAAAAAATATTAA